GGACACACAGTCACAGTATTTCCCACAATGCATCCTGGCTTCCTCCCCTCTGCCTTGGGAGATAATTGGGAAGTAACTCAATTATCTCCCAAGACAAAGGCAAAACTCCATTACACACGTGGGGACACAAAACCAGCATTATACTTTAAAATACATAATGTAACATTTATTACACAAAACACAGACATGTAATATATCCCCAGATAGCTCAGGTCTGAGTGCACATTATTAGGTGAATGGCACTCAGACCACACGAATACAGTTTAATCGCCATGGAGCCAAAGTCTTTACAGTCAGTTTCATACGAATGGGCTCCATGGGATTCCTATCTGGGGTATAATACATTCGAACAAAAATACCGAACACCGGGCCGTTCGTGCACTTCCACCGAACAAGAAGTGAGGTCGGCAGCTCCAGCAGTGTTCGCGCAAAACTGTGTCCGATTTTAGTTCCATGAAAATAGAGGCGAACACCGCTGTGCATTCGTATGTTTTAAAATGGCGACCTCGTGTTCGGGGTACGAATGGCGGCCACCCAGCATTCATCAATTAAGCTGCGGTTAACCGCAGCTCCACGGAGGTTAATTGCCGGCACACTCCAGCTCCCAGGTGGTCTATTCATTCGTGCGGTTGTTCGGTAGATTGAAACTACCGAACAACCGGCAGAAAAGCACGAATATAGCTTTTCTGCAGGCAAAATAAAGTCTTTTAAAAGGGGGCCATAGTCCAAAGGCAGCAGGCGAGCAGCCAGGCTTCTCCAATGCAATGTGGCGAGATTGGTCTCGTCACAGTTACATCTCCTGATAACCCTGATCTGGGTGACCAACATATCCAAGAATCACCCTGATCGATTCAGGAATTTCCTGGAAGTCTTAATTTTGACCGACTGCACACATGGTCCCATGCCCAAAACAGTTCCAGAGAATCAGGGCTTGCGGTCGGTCTAGTTCGGTAGTTTTAAAATGAACAAACTACTGCACAGTCAATAGTCTTACCCTGGAGCTTGATTCCCTTGTTTGTAGTAACGTTTCCACTGAACAGCACCTTTCTAAGTGTTGTAGAACCAAACACAGGTGGTCGTGTAAGTCCAGCGGTGTTTGGGAGTTTCCGCGTCCGAAAACAGTTCCATGAACAAGATGGCCGCCACCTTGTGGTCATTAATAGGAAATGCGGTCACCCAGTGGAACACTTAGAACACTGAGCTGGAAATTGCTACAAAGTGTCAATTAGGCTTAACAAGCTCCAGGGTGGTCTCAAGGTTCGTGCGGCTGTTGGGTGGCCGAACCATAGAGTTCAAATACATGAGCGGAGACTTTTACATCACATTTTACAGGGTCCATAGTTTGTGGGCAGGGGGCTGGCAAGCAGGCTGTTCCAGGAGCTATTGGCAAACTCACTTGGAAAGGGGAGTTGGTCACAAAGTGGACACTTGGTTATTGTATTAAAATTTTACAGTCCATTTGTGATCGCCAATTATAATCACAGTAGTATCTCTATTACTTCTATAATGTCTTACTTGCTTTGTCAGGATTCCTCCATGTTATTTTCAGTCTGATCGGCATTACCCGTATGGGTTTCGCTGATCTGACCCCGCCCAAGCATCTGACGTCACACGCTTCCCTTCAAAAAGAAGCCACGACTACATCCAAATTGCTCAATCAATAATTTGTTGTGCCTCTCATACACTTTGCTACATTGTTGCGGTTTGCAAGGAGTTCTTCTGTTTGATTAGATGTGTATCGAACCTCGCTTGATCCTGGCTACTCTCAACTCTCCACTCTCCACTCTCTAAAAAGATTATAACCACTATCCAATCCAGGATCTACTTATTTTCAACATTTGCTGTTGCAACCAACTGGACTGTGTTACTTTCCTAAAACAGGAATCACCTGCTCTATCACTTCTATATTGATATTTAATGGACTGCATTGCTTATTGCTAATTGAACATTCCCTTATTTTTATTATCTACTCAATGCTATATGCTGGTGATGCAATATACAACAAGGTTGTCATTATTTATGCATTATTTCCAATCCTTATTGCCACAGAAGACAGCCATAGTTAAGTTACTTTATTTCAATAAAATATTATATAGATTGACAGGTTTCTCTATTTATAATATATAAATAATTAGAATAACAAAAGAATAGGGTTTTGGAAGCAATAACTTTTGTCTTTAAAAATATTTTATTTAATATAAATTAATATAGACAATAACAAAAGAGTAAATAAAGTTAAATGCATTTGCTTGCAATATAAGTAAAATAGAATAACCTACCCTCCTAATCAGAAAGATTGATCTCTCAATCTTGAGTTAATGCAGCTGCAAAAACATGTTCTCCTAAAACTGCCCTCTATAATATTAACCCCTTAAGGACGGAGCCAAATGTACACAGTGTGAACGAAACAAAATGTAAACAAAACCTGGCATTTGCGCTACATGTCTGTCCAACCGTAATACACCTCTTTCATAGTAAATGCACCCACCCTTATTATATATCATTTTATTCAGGGGAAACAGGGCTTTCATTTAATATCAAATATTTAGCTATGAAACATAATTTAATATGAAAAAAATGGGAGAAAAGATTTTTTTTGATTTTTTTAGTTCTACATGACATTTTAACTGTCAATGTCATAATACTGTTTGCTTTTACTGCAATAAAATACACATATTTGTATTCAGCAAAGTCTCACGTGTAAAACAGTACCCCCTATGTACAGGTTTTATGGCGTTTTGGGAAGTTACAGGGTCAAATATAGCACGTTACATTTGAAATTGAAATTTGCCAGATTGGTTACGTTGCCTTTGAGACTGTATAGTAGCCCGGAATGAAATTTACACCCATAATGGCATACATTTGTATAGTAGACAACCCAAGGTATTGCAAATGGGGTATGTCCAGTCTTTTTTAGTAGCCATTTGGTCACAAACACTGGCCAAAGTTAGCGTTCGTATCTGTCTGTGTGAAAAATGCAAAAAATGCCAATTTTGGCCAGTGTTTGTGACTAAGTGGCTACTAAAAAAGACTGGACATACCCCGTTTGCAATACCTTGGGTTGTCTACTATTGCAAAATGTATGCCATCATAGGGGTAATTTTCATTCTTGGGCTACCATAGGGTCTCAAAGGCAACGTAACCAATCTGGCGAATTTTAATGTGAAAAAAATGAAACACAAGCCTTATATTTGACGCTGTAACTTTGAAAACACCATAAAACCTGTACATGAGGGGTTTACTAGAGCTGAACACAAATATTTGTGTTTCAAAACAGTAAAAAGTATTGCAGCAATAATATCATCCGTGTAAGTGCTGTTTGTGCGTGAAAAATGCAAAAAACTTCACTTTTACTGGCGATATCATCGTTGTAATACATTTTACTGTTTTGAAACACTAATATTTGTGTTCAGCGAAGTCTCCCGAGTAAAACAGTACCCCCAATTTACAGGTTTTATGGTGTCTTGGAAAGTTATAGGGTTAAATATAGTGCTAGCAAATTAAATTCCCTATACTTTCGGCATGGGTTGTCAGGCAGGTCCCGCTAATTGTAATTAATTAGGATACCTAATTATGTAAAAATATTACATAAATATATGTGTAGAATTAATATATGTATATATATACATATGTGTATATATACATATATATATATATATATTTTTTAAAATATTTTTATTTATATATAGGTGTATATATTTAGTGATATATATGTATATATTTATGTATATAGATATATATATTATTTCGTTCTACGTGTATTTTGATATAAATATATATATATTAATATCACAATACAGTTAGAACGAAATAACAAACATCTATATATTTTTTTATTATTTATTTTTAATTATTTTTTTAATTTTATTTTTTTACGTATTTACATTTTTTATATTATATATAAATATATATATATAACAATAATTATATATATATATATATATATTTAATCAGTATTAGTCTACGTGTAATTTGATAGTAATATATAAATAATTATATATATTAATATTTAAATACACTTCGTGTATGTGTAAATGTGTGTGTGTGTGTGTGTGTGTGTGTGTGTGTGTGTATATATATATATATATATATATATATATATATATATATATATATATATATATATATACTTAGATCATATATATATATATATATATATGATCTAAGTATATTTTATATTTAACTGTAATTTTTTTTTTTTAACTAATATTTTATTTTTATTACAGGACAGGGGGCAGAGACAGTGTCAGCCAGTGATTTTACATCACTGGCTGACACACAGGATCAGTGATCACAGTGACTGCCTGTCACTGTGATCACCTCCTGCAGATTGGGTAATTGGCCACAGGGGGGAGTGCCTGGGTGGTACAAGCACTCCCCCCTTCCAATCTGCAGGGGGATCTGTGTGCCAGTTACATGTGTCAGCCAATAGGCTGACACATGTAACACTGATCGCAGTGACAGGCTGTCACTGCGATCAGAGCGCTCTGAGATCGCAGTGACAGCCTGTCACTGCGATCTCAGAGCTAGCAGATCGCGGTCACTGACCCCAGGGGGACTGCCTGGGGGGCCAGGTAAGTCCCCCGACCGCGATCTGCATTGCAGAAAGCCGCCGGCCACGTGTGTCAGCCGATTTGAAATCGGCTGACACACGTTAAATACTGATCGCAGTGACAGCCTGTCACTGCGATCAGTGACTGCAGATCGCGGTCACCGGCCACAGGGGGGGTTGCCTGGGGGGCCGGGCATCCCCCCCGACCGCGATCTGCAGCGGGCGAATAGCGCCGGCCACGTGGGCGGCCATTAAAGTGAGGGCGTACTATTACGCCCGCCGGCGTTTAGAGCCGGCTCCTGCAGGGCGTAATAGTACGCCCTCCGTCCTTAAGGGGTTAATCAGTACATATATTACACATCCTGAAATCAGTTCATGTTAGAAATATAAAAACCTAATCAACATTAAGGCCAAGATCAAAAGACAACATTTTAACAACCCCCCCCCCCCTTTTTAACATTCTTTATTTTTGATTTATTAAAGCGTGACACGTTGAGGTATTACAGTTCAATTTGTTTTAACAACGGTAATATAGTGACAGTTTACATAACATCATATAAGTAGTGACAACAATTAACTAGAAGGTTATATTTGTCTTCATAGCGTAAACATGGCTTTAAATGTTTATTAATATGAGATTATGGCATTAGACTTGGTTTTTTTTTGCCTGGCGTAAACATAACGTTAAACGCTTGTTAGTATGTGGTTGAGGTAATGCACTTGCCCTAGTGGTGGTGTCTGATCAGTATGCGCTATTAGTTTATCATGACTGAGGGTTTAGCTCGGTTACGATAGAGCCTTTACCTTCGGAATGATCAGTTTCCTTTCCTTTTTCTTTGGGTTGGCAGTGAATCTTTGTACACTGAAGAGTGGGGGTAAAGGAGGGTGTGTGTAGGGGTTGTGGTATATCGAGTAGGTTGGGTAGGATTAGGGGTATGGGGTACCAACTTGGTGGGTATGTCAAGTCAGTGGGGTCAAACTCCCCTTTTTACCTGAGTTTACCACAAGCTCCTGGAGGAGCCTGCTTTTCAGCCTCCTGCCCAGACTATGGACCCTGTGAAATATAATATAAAAGTCTCTGTTCGTGTATTTGAGCTTTATTGTTTGAGAACTGGACAGCATCACATACTGGAGACTTTTACATTATATAATCACAGGGATCATAATCTGTGGGCAGTAGGCTGGCAAGCAGCTCCTCCAGGAACTCATGGCAAACTCAGGTAAAAAGGGGAGTGTGATGGACCGCCTGGCACTCCGACAGAGTGCCACCACCAATCGATGCTCCTAGTGCTCACCGAGGAATTCCAGCACTCCACCAGACACCATAAGCACTGCAGACCCCTCTACCAGCGATGCAGATGCGCCTGGGTCTCGCCATCCTTCACCCACCCTGGACCCAAGACCAGGATCCAGCTTCCAAGGGGGAAGAAATCTCCTACTCCCAGAGAGTGTAAAATGAACAGCTCTTATAAGAGCTAGTGATTATAATTCCTGGGTAGTATAGTGATATAGCAATTTCCAGGATAGATACAGCCGTCTCCCCCACACATGAGATGAGATAGTTGAGGGTAAGCAGGAACATAATTTTAATGCACGCACAGTGGCCTTTTATGCAAGTTTCCCAACAAGGGTGACACCCAGATGGACCTTGCTGGGCACAGAGACACAAAGTGAATAAACCAATAAAAACAGTCAGACAGACACGGATGAGACACTCCCATCAAAACAATAGAATCCCTCCTCTGTGCTTGGGAGATAATTGAATCAGGGACTGTACTAAGCTGATCCAATTATCTCCAAGCACAGAAAAACATACTATTTTATGAAACCCAAAAAGTACCTTAAAAACACACAAAACCCCATAAACGTTACTTTCCCTGATATCACCCAGATTTTTGACCGACCTTGCACATGGTCCTATGCCCGAAACAGTTACAGGGAAATCAGTGCCAACAGTTGATCAAGTTCGGTAGTGTTTTACAGGTTTCCCTGTAGGGTGCATAGTTTGTGGGCAGGAGGCTGGCAAGCAGGTCCCTCCACGTACAAGTGGCAAGGTAACTTTCGCCACAGGGAGTTTGTCACAGACATGACATAGCCTTGATTTGTAATTATTTTAAAACAATTAGCATTTACTTTCTAAACATTGTATTCACGAAGCTGGGCATAATGCCAGAAGGACACAGCTTAAAACAAACTTTAAGAAATCAAATGCCCACAGCACACTATTAAATGAAATAAGCGTTCTGGACACACATGTAGAGGGTTAAGCAGACTTTAATAGGATTGTGGTAATTGATATGTATACGTGCATGTTAAATCTAATATTATTATTGGCATTTACATAGAGCTAATAATTACAAATTGTTACAGAACAATAGGTTGATAATGATCCTGCTTGAAAGTGCTTTCAATCTACAGCAAGTAAGGTATAAAAACACAGTAAGGGCAGACTAGCGAATAGCAACCAAGCAGCAGACTGGGATGTAGCACAATTGAAAAGTAAAAGTGGACTGTGGCCCTCTGGAAAGAGAGTAAAACAAAGTTTGAGTTTTGAGAGACTTAATATTTATCTATTACATGGCTTTGGCTGCAAGACCAGATGATGCCGATGCCGAATCCGGAGTGAAACTTATGAATGCTGTTTTGGGCATATGCTGTAAAAGAGAGTCTGGGGTCAAATAGAACAACAATTATAGGCGGAAAGGTATGCAGCTAAAGCGATAAAAAAACGAAAACAATCAATGGGAGAGATACAATAGGTGAAAGTTATAAAAGGAAAAATCAATTTACCCCTTCAGGGGACCAGGGCTCTTTTAACACTTTTGTGGTGTTTGCATACTGTTCCCATACAAGTTATATATTGTTTTTTTCAGTACAAAAGGGCTTTCTTTACATACCATTAAAAAAAATTAAATAAAACAATATATTTTTTTTACTTTTGTTTGAAAGATCTTTTACTTACCTACTAAAGCTAATGAAAAAAACTGCTTAATAGATTTTAAAAATTTGTCCTGAGTTTAAAAAAATCCCAGTGTGTACGTCCTTTTTTTTTTTTTTTTTGTAAGTTATAGGGCTATAAGTACAAATAGGAAATTGCTGTTTCAAAATATATATATTTGTAAAATTTATCAATAGTGACCTTGTAACACTATTATCTGTCATAAAACTCTGAATCACACCCCACATTTACATTTTTTTTTTAAAGTAGACAACCCAGGGTATTCCATATGGGGTATGTCCAGTCTTTTTTTAGAAGCCACTTAGTCGCAAACACTGGCCAAAGTTAGCGTTCATATTTGTGTGTGAAAAAGGTAAAAAACTAAATTGAATGCTAATTTTGGCCAGTGTTTGTGACTAAGTTGCTACTAAAAAAAGACTGGACATACCCCATTTGCAATACCTTGGGTTGTCTTATTTTGCAAATGGTATGCCATCATAGGGGTAATTCTCATTCCTGGGCTACTATATGCTCTCAAAGGCAATGTAACCAACCTGGCATTTTTCAACGTAGAAATATTTGACCCTTGTATTTGACCCTGTAACTCTCAAAAATGCTATAAAACATGTACATGGGGGGTACTGTTATACTTGGGAGACTTTGCTGAACACAAATATTAGTGTTTCAAAACTGTAAAATGTATCACAACAATATCATCAGTAAAAGTGCTGTTTGTGTGTGAAAAAAAAATCACTTTCACTGACAAGATCATCGCTGTGATAGGTTTTACTTTTTTGAATCGATAATATGTGTTCAGCGAAGTCTCCCAAGTAAAACAGTACTCCCCCACGTACAGGTTTTAAGGTGTCATAGAAAGTTACAGGGTAAAACATAGTGCTAGCAAATTAAATTCTCTGGAATTTCAGCCTGGGTTGTCAGGCAGGTCCCTCAAATTGCAATCAATAAAATTACTTAATTATGTAAAAATATTACATAAATACGCACGTAGAATTTAAATATATATGCATATTTATAGATTTGCAGTCTACGTGTATATTAAAATAATTATTTATGTAATTTTGTATATGGACATATGTATATTTCGTATTATTTTTATTTATATATACATATATACACAGATATATATATATATATATATATATATATATATATATACACACACACACACACACAATTTCATTCAAAGTGTATTTTGATATAAATATATATTATCAAAATACAGTTAGAATAAAATTTCATGTAGATATAATTTTTTTACAGTTTATTTTTTAATTTTTTTCATTTAAGTTACTTATTATTTGTATTTTATTATAATATATATACACAGTTATATTATATATATATACATACACATATATAATTTAATTCTAAGTGTATTTTTATATTAATATGTATATAATATAAAAATACACTTATGACCTTATTTATGATATATAGACATATTATATAGTCTATCATATATATATATATATATATATATATATATACACATACATACATACACACACACACATATAATTATATATATTTAAAAAAAATATATATTTTACACTTGCAGGGAGACTGCCTGACAGCACAGACAGTCCCCCTGCAGGCAGACACTAGGACACCTATTGTGACCATATCGTGAGCAATCACATGGCATATTGTGAGCAATCACATGGCCCCCAGGGTCCTAATTTGCCATGGGGAGACTGTCTGGGCTGCAGACAGTCTCCCCACACCAGGAGCACCGCTGATCGCCGCCGGGGGAACGACGGCGATCGGGTAAGTACATGTGACCTTTATGACGGTTCAGGACCGTCACCGGTCCTTAACAGTATGTTACCGATGACAGTCCTGAACCGTCATCCATCGGTCGTCAAGGGGTTAACCAGACAATATATGCAATAACAAAAAGAAACATTAAACAAAGCAAGAGCTGAACATGGAAGTGGTCTTCAAATTTAACCGTAATACTATAGGGGAAGGAGGTAAAGAGGGGCCCTGCAGGGTTATCACGATACCATCATTTGCACATTAACTGCTACTCGCACACTCATTTATTTTGTCAGCATTTAATTCTATGTTAATCTATAGATGCATTATAATGTGTTAGGAGTTTTCTCACCTGTGTGAGTTTGCTGATGTCGAACAAGTTCTGGTTTTCTAACAAAAGATTTACCACATTCAGAACATGAGAAAGGTTTCTCACCCGTGTGAATTCGGTGATGTATAACAAGATATGATTTACTTACAAAACATTTTCCACATTCAGAACATGAGTAAGGTTTCTCTCCTGTATGGGTTCTTTGATGTATTACAAGTTGTGAAGGGTTAGTGAAACATCTTTCACATTCAGAACATGAGAAAGGCTTCTCTCCTGTATGATTTCTCTGATGTATAATAAGCTCCATTTTAGTGGCAAAACATTTTCCACATTCAGAACATGAGTAAGGTTTCTCTCCTGTATGGGTTCTTTGATGTATTACAAGATGTGAATGGTGAGTGAAACATCTTTCACATTCAGAACATGAGAAAGGCTTCTCTCCTGTGTGGGTTCTCTGATGATTAATAAGACTTGGTTTGTTTACAAAACATTTTCCACATTCAGAACATGAGAACGGTTTCTCTCCTGTGTGGATTCTTTGATGTTTAACAACACCTGATTTACTTGCAAAACGTTTTACACATACAGAACATGAGTAAGGTTTCTCTCCAGTATGGGTTCTTTGATGTATTACAAGTTGTGAAGGGTTAGTGAAACATCTTTCACATTCAGAACATGAGAAAGGCTTCTCTCCTGTATGAGTTCTCTGATGTATAATAAGCTCCATTTTAGTGGCAAAACATTTTCCACATTCAGAACATGAAAACGGTTTCTCTCCTGTGTGGGTTCTCTGATGATTAATAAGACTGGTTTTGCTTACAAAACATTTTCCACATTCAGAACATGAGAACGGTTTCTCTCCTGTGTGGATTTTCTGATGTTTAAGAAGCTTTGTTCGAACACTAAAACTTTTCCTACATTCAGAACATGAGTATGGTTTCTCTCCTGTGTGGGTTCTTCGATGTTTAACAAGATGTGAAAGCTGTGCAAAACATTTTGTACATTCAGAACATGAGAAAGGTTTCTCTCCCGTATGGGTTCTCAGATGCATAACGAGTTCCAATTTACTCACAAAACTTTTCCCACATTCAGAACATGCAAAGGGTTTCTCTCCTGTGTGGGTTTTCTGATGTCTACTAAGGCTTGGTTTACCAGTAAAACTTTTCCCACATTCAGAACACGAGTAAGGTTTCTCTCCTGTGTGGGTTTTCTGATGGATCCCAAGATGTGATTTCCGTCTAAAACATTTTCCACATTCAGAACATGGAAAAGGTTTCTCTCCTGAGTGGGATCTCTGATGGATCACAAGTTGTGAGTGATGGCAAAAGGACTTTCCACAGTCAGAGCATACAAAATGGTTTTCTCCTGTGTGACTCCTGAGATGGACAACACATTGTGAATGTGAGCGAAAACATTTCCCACATTGTGAACATGGGAACGGTTTTGCTTTGTTTTTTACAGTCTCATTTGTAGACATATTGGATTCTAAGAAGTTCCTTGACATTTGAGAGTTGGAATTTTTTGGTTGTTTAAGTGATAGATTTCTTTATAGTCTTGGATGGTGTATTTTTGTTCTTGTCAAATATTTCAGGATAACTTCTGCTGACAGAAACACCTGCAAGAAATGGGAATTAAAGAAAATCTTTAACTATAAAATATTTATGGTTTACAATACTTAGAAAAACTGACTTTTGTGAATGAACAAATATGTCCATGAAGTATCATGGTGATTAAGAAAGACATTAAAAAATATTTTGTGTGCTTTAACCCCTTCAATATCAAAATTGTGTATATAGGGGAGGGGCAAGAAGCTTTGTGAGAGCTCTGCTGCATGGGACCCGTGTTTTATCGTATCTATTAGGGATCGACCGATTATCGGTCTAGCCGATATTCAGTATTTTTGGCAATATCAGTACCGGCCAATAGAGATACCAATATTGACGATAATACATGCTAGCACTTATACCCAGTTACGAAAAACACAAGTGCGCAAAACAATATTTACCCTCTTGGTTTAAACTCCCTTGTAAGAAAAGGGGGGAAAGTTACAAAAAACCTGCTTTATGTTTCACTTGGTATCAGCTAATACCAACTACAGTCCACCAGTTCTCCTACAAACTCCTGTTGTTTTAACTCCTACATAAAAGAGACTACTTTAACGCCGTTATGGCGTTTTATGCCGTCCCCATTTAAATGGGGTTTAAAGCCGTTGCGGCGTCGTAGAACGCCGTAACGGATTGGGCCCCCAGGAGGTAAAATGTACTTACCGCTGCGATCCTCTTCGGGATCACTCTCTCTCAGAGAGTGATCACATGGTCCCCTATAGCTGGCTGTGGATCTGCCAGCAGGGGGACTGTCTGAAATGTGACGAAGTTATAGAAACAGGTTTAAAATAAATTAAATATATATATATATATAACCAGGCAGAAAGTGCAGAGAACTTGAATAACCCTGTAACTGAATTGAATAACTTGAATTAACCCTGTAACTTTCCAAGACACCATAAAATCTGAACATGGGGGGGTACTGTTTTACTCGGGAGACTTCGCTGAACACAAATATTAGTGTTTCAAAATGGTAACTTGTATTACAACAATTATATTTTTAGTAAAAGTGAAATTTTTTGCATTTATCACACACAAACTGCACTTTTACTGACGATATATCATTGTTTTACTGTTTTAAAACACTTATTTTTGTGTTCAGTGAAGTCTTCCAAGTATAACAGTACCTCTATGTACAGTTTTTATGATGTTTTGGAAAGTTCGAGAATCAAATATAAGGCTTGCATTTGATTTTTTTCACATTGAAATTTGCCAGAATGGTTATGTTGCCTTTTGAGACTGTATGATAGCCCAGGAATAAGAATTACCCCCATGATGTCATACCATTTGCAAAAGTAAACAACCCAAGGTATTGCAAATGGGGTATGTCCAGTCATTTTTAGTAGCCACTTAGTCAAAACACTGGTCAAATATTTGTTTTTTTGCTTTTTTCACAAAAAAACAAATATGAACGCTAACTTTTGCCAGTGTTTGTGACTAAGTGGCTACTACAAATGACTAGACATACCCCATTTGCAATACCTTGGGTAGTCTACTTTTGCAAATTGTATGCCATCATAGGGGTAAATCTCATTCCTGGTCTACCGCACGGTCTCAAAGGCAACATTACTAATCTGGCAAATTTTTATGTGAAAAAGCAGAAAAATGGAATGTGCTATATTTGACCTTTTAACTTTACAAAACACTGTACAAACTGTTAATGGGGGCTACTGTTGTACTTGTGAGACTTTGCTGAAACCAAATATGTGCTTTTTTTGCAGTAAAAGCTAACAATATTATGACATTTACAGTTAAAATATGAGGCGGAACTACAAATTAAAAAAAATAAAAATTTTTTATTTTATTCATAATAAATTATATTTCATATATAAATATTTGATTTGAAATGAAAGCCCTGTTTCTCCTGAACAAACACATATAAATAGTGTAGGTGCATATAATATGAAAGAGGTGAATGACGGTTGAACAGACATAGCACAAATTCCAGTTTCTGTTTACATTTTGTTTTGATCAGAACGTGTACTATTGACTCCGTCCTGAAGGGGTTAACTTAAAATGCTTAAAATTTGCTTAAATGCTTAAAAACTTAAAAACATTTTTTATTAAGGTAAATGCACAAAATAAACATTCCAGTGAGATTTTTTTTTTTATGTTTTCAAGAATATTTAGTGTTTCTCTCATTTCCCTGTCCTTTAGTGTCCCCCCACTTCCCCTTAGTGGTCCTCTTCCCTCCCTGGTGTGCTTCATTACCTCTCATGTAGCATGGACAAGCTGAGTGGACCAAGGTACAGGAGCTTCAGTTTCCTGTACTCAACCGGACTGACAGGAAGTGCTCTCAGTGAGCACTTCCTGTCAGTCCAACCGGGTTGAGAAAACTGAAGTGCCTG